GATTAAAATATAATAAATAATTAAAACGGTCAATATAAATTACCTTTGTTGAGCTCGGCTAAAAGTAAAACGATCCTGTCAACGATAACATTGCCACGTCTAAGTAATAGAGATAATAACAGATTTATATACACGAGCATTAACATTGCGGCGACGGAATGTTCTCTTGGAAGAGAAGGAAATAAACAGAGTTTTATTTTCATAATAAGCTACAGTAGCTGTTACCCAAATATTCTGTGTCCTTTTGAGAGTTAAGTCCATGCTTTTGAAATTTAATATAAATCATTTCTGATATCAGGCGTTTCAAGTAATAACGTTTCTCATGCAAAACTTTGGCTTGATCCCAATTGAAATCATGGTTTTTTCTCAAACGATATTCTTGTATGGCCGTTAACTCAATTGTAGAACTCCTTGGTATTCTCCTATGCTCAGCAATGCGCGTAGAGAGTCTTCTACTAGTTTAACCAACATACGACGCCTCACAACTACTGCAATTTATACACAACGTTATTATGGAAACCAGGAGGCAACCTGTTGTTATGCACACGAATCATTTCTGATAATTTATTATTGCAAGAATAAGCAATATTTGTCAAATTATTTTTAAAAAGCTTTGCCAGTCTGTTCAAAACCACACCAAAAAACGGTATGGTAAAATATTTTTTATCATAACCAGATGCTGTCAAATTTTAATACGTAATAGCAATTATTTTCGACTGGTATCATAAACCAACGTTTTCTGATCGGTATCTAAACTATTTGTCTTTTCATCCTATTCAACACAAGATCGGAACAATTATTGGCTTGGTGGATTGGATGTTTTATCTTAGTCACTCGACTTTCCATAAGAATAATTTAGACTTTATCATTTTGACGCTAATTAATAATAATTATCCTTTTGATCGAATTTTTAAAATTATAATCTTCTTATTTCTTATTAAAATTTAGAGTTTTAACATGTTTATGATAATAACTTGAATGTCTAATAGAGTTACTTCGACTCTTTATTTAATTGTCAGTGCATTGCGAAAACACGTTTACTACGTTTTAATACGTTCACTACACGATTTATTTAGAGGACTCTGTCCACACACATGAGCCACATTATTTTTTTTTACATAATTGTGTAAAACAGACTTAGTTTCATGTAGCGAAAGAGGGAGAGTCGAGCATTCTAGTATCAAATTAACGTGAAGAAAGGATATTTCTGCTAATTATATTTCGTATTTTTAATTCTTTGTTCTCTTACCGCATTTAGAAAAACATTGATATTTTGAATACACCGAACTTTGCATTTTTTTCTGTTTGTCAATTTTCTCTCCTGTGTTGCGTGACGCGATTCGACCATCGGTCGCAGGATTTCTCGCTGTGATTGTAGCGCGTGCCCGGCCGCGTCGGGAGAGCAAAATAGGAATTATATAAATAACTTCACGATTGCTCGTGTATATCGAGTTTAAATATTTGTTCATAATAATGGGGAGATTTTTTGAATCGATGCGTACGCGAGCATCGCGTCATAACCGTCACGGGACACAAGCGATAAAATACAGACTGTCGTTGTTGGTTTTATATCCGATGCAATCCCGGCCGTTGTTTACACGTGAAAACCAAAAGAAACATTACAGCTGACGCGTGTGCAGCATTCTAACAATTTTCGGTTGAGGTTGGCGTAATACATGAATTTCCCTCATGGGAGAGTAAAACTCAGTCTCCGTTTTGCCTTCGTTTCCTCTCCAGGCGCGCACCATGTGTGATGCTCCTCTCTTCCTTTCCGACATATTGCGAAAAGGATGGCAAATAAAGAAACAAACAAGAGTCTGTTAGCAGATTTTAAAATTTGTACAAAGTGCAGCATGAAATCGGCAATTATTTGGTATAATTCGATATAATTACCTTTGACATGTTATTAATTGATAGACGCGCGAATACGTGTTCACCTTCTCGAATACTGGTGCGGTCGACGTGGAGTACATGTGGCAGATAAATATGGACGAGCAGTACCCGATGAGACGAACCGCAAATTATTCGCGACTCACGCTGGGACCACAGGGAGATATGCGATCTGCGACTAACTCGTTGGTACACACTCATGAGTCTCGCCAGCGACCTGATCAATATCACGCGGCGGAGCTAAACGATAAAGGCGCTAAATTAAATCGACGATGTCTGACGTCATCTCGAGGTAATTAAAAAATGTGGAATCTAGAAAGGTATAATTTCATCCTCAGTGCGGGATCCTTTGAGTCCCAGAGGACTTTATTCTTATACATATATACGTGATCTCAAAAGGATGCTTCTAAAAGCAAAAGGAAAGTATTCTAACTGCAATATTGTTAAAGTTAGAGAAATTTCGCTTTTTATCTACAACTACTCTCTTAAAGTGAATCAGTGAAACATCATTGAAAGCAGTAAATAAACACTGATTTTCAGCTATAAGTACAGCACTGAAACTGCTCAGTGCTATACTTATAACTGATATCAGTGACTATTCACTGATTCACTTTAAGAGAGTAGCTTAACCTTTTCATCCTTGAATATGTATACTACTCAGGACGAAAGGGTTAAACTACCCTTAAACTGTCCAGGTTATCACAAAATGTCAAGAAGATGAAATTAGAGGGAAGAAGTAGGATGTCCAGATTTCATGGTAGCTTATATTTCTTGCAAAGTTCTAGACAGTAACTACGCAAAACATGGCTCAGATCAGTCAAAGGGTTTAAGAGTTAATAGAGAACATACAGACACAGATATTATTATCATATACATTATATAAAATAAATCTTGTTAGTCGCGTCTGTCGTATCGCACGTAAAAGGACATTCTGCTTCAAGCAAACATATTCCTTTTGATTAAAAAAAGGGTTGAAATAATATTTCATAAATTTTCGATTAATTGTTCACACTTTCTCTTTCATTAGAATAGAAATATGTTTGGTAAAAGGTTTTGCACAGAAAATGGGATTACAAGAAATAGCAAATAGAGTTCTTTTCTTTGAGCGTATATTCGATCATGAAATAAAAGAACTCGATTCAATCATGAAATAAAAGAATATTTACGAAAATATTATAAAACATAACAAAAACATAACAAAAGTATAATAAAAGACCGAGTTTGGATACAAGTGGTATTCTGCTATGTAATTATTGTGTATTTTCTTGCTTTTCACTTTTAACGTGATTTTCACGCATCTACATTATATTTTCAATAAATTATTTCCGTCATGGCTGTCTTTCTTGTTATGTCCTTTACTCATTCTACGCGTTACAATCACACTTTAAAGAAAGAACAATGTTATTTTTCAGATTATCTTGAAAAACTCACATTCAAGAGCTTTTAAAGAGTTCATTAATATGACATCATATTAAAGAATTCTTTAAAAGCTCATTTCTATAATATCTTTCTCAAATCGACGCATTAATCAACATTATAATGTCATTATTGTTTCTTATATACTGCGTTCGGAAATTCTACTCCAAGTTAAAATACAGAGAAAAGAGTTCTTGAAAGTAAATTAGAAATTTACACCAGTACGTCTTGGAGGCGCTTGGTGTTACCGTCAAAGTTAATAGAGCTCATTTCGTTTTAATATTCGTTTTATTGTATGTGAAAAGCTTTCGTCTTACACGTGAATCACGACAACGGATGTCGTTATTTCTGCAGAAGATATCGTCAAGATAAAACTACCTGCTAGCGCCCACGATCCATCCGATCTCTTCAGCAGTAGTGCCGGATTGACAGAGCGAAGTAGCGACAGTTGGTTAGAGAGTGACGATTTGCCGTTTGGGATTTACCCCGAAAAGGGAATCCTGCTGCCGGGTGAATCGGCAAAATTCACCCTGCGATTTTCTCCTACGGACGTGTTCGACTACAAAGCGTATCTCACATGCAAGTAAGATCATTACTGCGACTCGACGATTTCCATCCTAAAATATATAATCTTCCCAGCAAACACAATAATATAACAGTTATATTACATCGTTGTAATATAACGGGATGTAACGTGCAATATAACATGTTTGTTACATGTAATATACACATTAGTTATAATTCCCCATTCATACGAAGTTGCCGTTATATAATAGAAATATAACGTGTTACTAAAATGTTATATAGCTGTTATATATATTGCTGAAATGTTATATAGCTGGAATATAAATTATTATTTTCCAGCAATTATAGGCATTTAAACTCATGTCCTTATAAACTCATGGTACTTTTGTTTAGGAAGTATAAGGCTTTATACAGGGTGTCCCGTGTAAGACGGACCAAAAGAAAAATATAAGTAGAACACATAAAAGTGAACAAAAATTGTACACGTCATTTTTCAAACAACTACGTAAAATTTTAATCCAAGAAGATTCGCGAATGATCAAATGTGATAAGATAGATGAGCTGCGATGGCGAGGTTTGCCGTTGTATGCTTGTATATTAGATCAAACTGAACAAAAAAGTTTTCTTTCATTTTCTAAATGACACGTAGATGTTTAGTTATTAGTTGAAAAAGATTGGTGCATTATCGCATACAACTGTATTGTGACGTGGCAGTGGTGCAGCTGCACGTCACAAGAGGATTAAGCTGTCGAATCAAGAAATTAGATTGATTTCTTAGTGATCGCTCGGGCTAAGCCGCGAGAAATTCGTGCGAATATTTACATTTTCGATAGCGGTTTCCGATAGTGTTTATGTGTCGTACCATCGGCGTAGCTATCGGAAACATTCGGATTTTCGCGTTAGATTAGCGATTCGCGCGTCCCGAATACCTGTGTCCTCGCGGCTCCCGAAACTGACAACAGGAGGTCGAGAGTGAGGAAACATGGAAGCACAGCGTGGGACAAGAGCTTTCTCTCTGGGAAACCCCACAGAGAACCAGAGTGAGTCCTCATTATTCAAATGTTAGTGACAGTAATGAATGCCGTGTCGTTCCGAATTTGGATGCCGCCGACCTTATATTCGTCTTTCGATTTTTTGTAGAATACTGGCTACGGGACAACAATAACAATCTCGGAACAAAGAGATGACCTACCAGACTTGTATCGACTCGTTCGGCCATCTTTTGCGTTGGAATTAGCATTGAGTAACGATTATTCGGTAAAGTGGTGTGGTCTGCTTCGCATCTGGCGTCCAACATCTTGAGTTCCGCGAGCGGAGCGTGGGAGGGTGGTATTTTGCGGTAAGTGGAGGAATACTCCTCGCAGTACATAAACTTCTTTAATTAGTAAGTAAACGTGTACGTGGTCATTTGGAAAATGGTAGAGGATTTTTTTATTTAGTTTGACTGGAGATGTGCGAACTATTCGAATTCGAATCAAATCCCTATGATTCGAATCCGAATAATTAGAAAATTTCGAATCGAAAAGATTCGAATACGAATTGCGCACTTTAGCATTAATGAAATACTATTAAAGACATCCAGCTTTACGGAAATTAGCATGACTTGAAAAGTTTGCTATACATTAAGATTTTCTTCATAAACATTAAAAGAAGACAACGGCTTCAAGATAAATTCTTATCGACAATTGTCGGATCGATATGTGTCGTTGCGCAGCTTTCAATGCTGAAACTGTATTCTATATATACGTTTACCGATTATATATTATATATCTCTTACCTTAAAATGAATTGATACCACATGATCAATGTTTTCTCTCTCATACTGAAATCCCTATTTTCATGTTGAATTCAATAATTATGTTAATTAAACAATCTTCACTGTTAAGCTTTATATCGTAGACCATTATCTCCAAACTAACATGGATCGTGCCGAAGAAATTCCTGCAAACATACATTCCGGTTTGGAATATCATCCCTGGGAAAAAAACAGAAATCCGAATATTATTCGCTTGAAGCCGCTACATCCATTCGAGGTGTTTATTTTAAACATAGAGGGAAGAGAAGACGGAATATATTCCGACGATAAATATTTGCTATTGTGTTGTGAATTTAAAGAAGACTTGAAAATTTTTTTCACTCAATCTAAGGAAATGATCAATATCTTAATATAAGTAATATGAATAACAGTGAAATATTAAATTCAATTAAAACCAAAAAATTTATCCAATGTGTAACAAACGCAGACACGATAAACGAGTGAGGCATTTTGCTGTGAGACCTTATTACAGTAAGTACTTTTTAATTAATTTTTTACAGCGTAAACTATAACTATGATGGCATAAATAAAGAGTATTTTAAAAAGCTCTATCCGAAAAAAACTTTTTTTATATTTCAAACTGGTTATCTCAAAACCTATCTAACGTATTACAATTGTATTGATTTTATTTGAAAGATAATTTAATTTTCTACAAATTTTGTTTTAATATTTTTGAAAGAAAACAACGCATACTTCTCTATATATCTGCAAAAATGTATAAAAACCGTGATTTTGGGACGTTACTTTTTTAAGGAAGCATTTTTCGATCCATATTTATAGAAAATTTTTTGTTCAAATTTATATTTACTGTAAAATCTTAATATCTGGATGACAAATATATGGATGACAAATCAGACGTATTTAGTATTTAGTATTTGGCAGCGCATTGTATACTTCGCTGAATTAAACATTATTCTTTTATTGTTCATTGTTTCAGCTCCTGAGTATCTTTATGAGATTCTACATGATGAAGCAGAAGAAGATATAAACCAGTATCCGTATACCGGCAGACTATGATGCGTAGTGTCAGCCATAGAAGGAGGAGAGCATACTAGGTGGCGGCGGGACGCCGTGCGTTCGAGATCTGCGTATTTTTTTCGTTCCAGAAAGAGAAAAAAATATCGAGAGCGCGTCCTGCTAGGCCGGGACTCAAACCCGGGTCTTTCGCTTGCCGGGCGACTGCTCTAAACCACTGAGCTACCTGACACTCCACGCTCACGACACTCTCCTCTTCCTAGATAACGCTCAGAGATGCCGTTCTGCCTTTGTAAGTACTTTCTAATTAATTTTTTACAGCGTAGACTATAATTATAACAGCATAAATGAAGAATATTTTAAGAAGCTTTATCTCTCTCTCTCCTTCTCGTTGATAACCGAAAAGAACACTTTTTTTGTACGCTTGAAACTGGTTATCTCAAAACCTATGTACCGTATTACAATTGTGCT